ACTCTCTTCTTTGATATTAACAAATTAAATAGATCTGACAAATTAAACGTATTGTTTATGCTCGACGATTTTAATACGAAACGCTTATTAAAATAGAAGACACGTAGTTTGGAACAAAGAGGCCAGAAACTCGGAGAGATAGCGACCGGGATTATGCTAATTCTATTCAACCGCTCGTATTTGTCTCTGAAATCTGGAATGTGTTCTTATTTCTCGGACAAACGGTCGGTTCCAGTTTACTTGATTCGTAAGTTCGTAACAATTTTTCCTTTCGTTTCCCCTTGCGCCGTGTCCGACCGTGTCATTGACAAAACAAGGGAAAAACAAGACGTTGCGGAGAAAAAGCATACCGTTAAACGTGGGTAAATGTCATAAAAAATAAGCATATCTGAGCGGAAAACTGCGTAGTACGCGTGCCGCGAAAGCGTTCTGTTTATTAAGTCGCCGAATGGAATCTGGGCCAAACATGACCCAGGGACACGTCCCGGAAACTGGAATATGGTAATTTGGCCCGGCTCGCTTCGCGAATATACGGCACAGCCTCGTACGAGTGTCACTGGAATTGCAAGCAACTTAAGCGTGCACGGTCAATTGAATACGAAAGAGCGGAGGATGACGGAGAAATAGGGTGAAAGCAGCACATTCAGAGGATCGAGCGATTTTTTAAATTGCCGTCGAATTATGAACGTCGTGCACCGTTTCCCGAGTTTACCACGAGCAACGAAGAGAGAAAGGGTAGCTCGAAACGATAACAGTATCTTGAAGTAGCATGGTTGCACGGTCGAGAATAATCTTCAGCAATTTACGATGAATTCTGGCAAACACCTCGGGGCAACGTCTTATGGCGATTTAAGACCAAACGAGCGAATGCTTCGCCCATTTTAATAAAACTTAGAAACGAAAGCGCAAGGGAACGTTTGTTTCGCCGTTTAACTCCGATTGGTCGCCGAACCGGAAATCGAACATCCGAATGCTCTGAGAACGCTCTATACTTTGACGACGAACGTGTAACGTCAACTCACATCAGAGACCAGGCCATACACCGCGGACAGGATGGCACCCAGATATCTGCACATTCTTGGTGCGCACCCCCGATAGTCTTAAGTACCCACCAGGGGTCTTGGCATTTTCATGGTTAAGGTCCTTCGGACCAAGCGAGTATTTCCTGCCTTAGATTTCCCTTTACGTTTATTGTCTACCACGTGTTAGCTTAGAAAGTTGGTTTTCTTCGCATCTGGTGCGTTCCGTTAGCAACTTTCTCGCGAGGGCGGCTAAAACCCTTCCTGATCCACCAACCGTCTTATTATCCAATCGGAGACGGTGTCTACTGCCCTCGCTTCCTTAACCAAAATCGTCATCGACAAATCCGATAGTCCCGTGTCCTTAGACACACCCACCCCTAGCTTTCCTCAGACACGGTATCGTCGGTAAGACCAGACACACCCACCCCTGGCATTCCTCAGACACGGTATCGCCAGAAAGACTCGCTTATTCTGTATCCTGAGAATAGTCAACGTATCTATACCGGTCTCTACCCTTATAACAGTCGCGTACTTAACGTATCGTTGTAACTAAGTCTTACATAAAGTGGTTGGAGTGAATTGTGATTTATGTTAATTCAATGTGCGTTACATTGTGATTGCTGAATTCGTAATAAAGTTTAATTAAAACAAAATTAATAGTTGTGTTACGGCTCAGATACTTTTTATTTTCATCAACCAACCCCAAAAATTACGTGACAAACGCGAGCGAACGTTCCTAGAGATTACATCTCAGAGATGCTGGATAATAACTCTCGGTTCGGTGTTCGTTCGATCTCGAAACAGCGATATCCGATGAAAACATCGTAGCTACCATTTGTTAACGAGAAGACATTTCTGTGGCGACATTCGACGGCGGAACTTTCCGACGGTTTCGCGACACAAAACGCTATACCACGAAAGCGTAAGGCCGACTGCCCAATGTACCATCGATATGCTTACGGTCCTTTCGCAGAATATTCGGAAGAACGCAATACACGGCAACCATTGTGGACGTCTAACGAATGCGTGCGTAGTGGAGATATCGAGAGCCAACAAAGAAAAGAACAAAGAATGGTTTTGAACGAAAGATTCATTCCGTTTCGAACAGCGAAGTGCGAAGAGTCTAGCGTAACAGCGAAGCAAACACATTCGAGAAGTGTGATCGTTGATCGTTAATTGTTTAATAAACTTTTTTGTTGAATATCGAGAGTGTTTCTTGAGCATATACGCATTAAACCACTTCATTTCCAACAATGCTGCATGAAACCATTAGCTCACCTCTGCGATTAACCTACAACTACGGGCATAGTCCGTAGTGGATGATCGGACCAAATATAATATACAGGGTGGTTGGTAACTGGTGGCACCAATTCTACGCGAAAAAAGAAGTCGAGAATATAGAATAAACATTCTTTTTTTAATTTTTCCATCGAGACAACGATCTAAAGTGAGATCCGTTATAACGAGACGCGATAAAGTGCAGGCGTACCGAGCGAAAATTCAAAGTCGATTTTCTCGAAAACAAAGCCTCGAACGAAAAATTTGTATTCTATATTTTCGACTTCTTTTTTCGCCTAGAATCACTCCCTTTTCGCTTGTACCACCAGTTACCAACCACTCTGTATAACAGCTTGTTTACGTTTTCGGCCCAAAATTCTCTCGTAAGGGGTTAAATGAATCAAGCGAGCATTTTGGAACGTTCGCGGAACATTCTTAAAGCGTTTGGACGTTAGATTTCCGATTCATCCGAACAATCGCCAAACATCGAACTTGCTCCATGCTCGTTCACGCGTTCATTTTACTCGCTTCGTTTAGACGCACAATTATAAGTGTCGTTCTGCGGTACCGAGTTTTGTACCGTCTCTCGAACGATGGAGCAGAAAAAGATGGCGATGAACGCGATGGAAACAGGAAAACGACGGAGAACGAGCGTCTCAGGGCGGTTTTAAAATCAGTTTCGACCGTTATACCGCGACGAGGACTCGGTGATCCGGTAATCCGACAGAACGACGCGACGTTCCAGGAACGGTCGGACCTGGGTTAAATTGCCCGCACCGGCCTCGAAATTGGGTCGGTGCACGAGAAAATCGACTGCAGATTGAGAGGACCTCTTCGCGGTGGATCAACCGTCTCTCCTCCTCTTCTCTTCTTGATTTGTCCTTCCTCCTCCTCCCTCTCTCCTCCTACTTCTTCCCTCTATCCACGGTCGTTTTCATCGATGCGAAATTGGGGCCGGTGAATCGTCGGCCAAGAATAGGCAGGCTGGATCGTCGATCGACGATTCCAGCTTTCACAGAACCCGATGGTTGTGCCGGTACTTAGAAACGCGGCCGAGGAAGAAACGATTTTGCGTAACAACCGAACTCCGGCCGCTCGCGCTCCAATTCGGCTGTATTGCAGCTGCCTTCCACGCAAATTGGCCGCGTATTTTGGCCTTCTTCGTCCACCCGATACGATGATCGTGCCAGCGATGTCTGTAATTGTACCTGCCGGCGAAATTATTTCCACGAGGAAACACGCACGGCACTTTTCCATTATCTTCGTCCAATCTTTCCCATCCGTTTCTCGTTCTTATCTCTTTGCTATCGATTCGAAGATCGGATTACTCCTTAACGGACGAGTACTTTACAATGAATAAATTCTAGTCTGTATATTTAATTAATCGTCGATATGTTGATTAACAATATATATCGTCGAAGCGAAGTGCCTAATGAGCCATCGATATCCCAATGGTCCTTCCGCCGAACGTTCGAGAAGAAGGCATGCGTAGCAACGATCGCGGACGCCTAACAAACGTGTCACACGCTGAAGAAGACCATCCGCTCAGAAACAGTAACAGGATAGGCTAGACATTCTGCATACCACAGCTATCGAAACAGTAACGAAATAGTAAAGGAATAGGCGCCTCTGATATACACCAGACGACAAGGCCTCCAGAGGGACTAAAAGCTCAGTATAAAAACCCTGCAAAATAAGCGCTCGCCCCAATCTGTTAAAACATTTTCACCCAGTCTCTCGTAACACTTTGAATCATTCTGTTGTAATACTTTGAACCGTCAGCCTGTTGGATTTGCATAATAAATTTTGTTATCATATATTGTTATACTCTACCTAAATCAGGTTACATACCGCGGGCAAGATGGCAACCAGATGTCCGCACATCCTTACTGCGTACCCTCAATAGCCTTAAGGACCTATCATAAATCTCAGGAATTTTCTAGCTAAGGTCCTTCAGACCGAACAAACATCTCTTTACTGGATCGTTTCTAAAGCTTATTGTCTACTACGGAAAGACACGGGAAACTTAGTTTTTCTCACGTACGATACTTCCCTACTAGCGACTTTCTATCGAGGGCGACTGAGACCCTTCCTAGTCCACCAACCTTCTTATTATCCAATCAGAACCAATGTCTACTGCCCGTGTCCTTAGACACACCCCTCACTAGCTTTCCTCCGACACAGCATCGTCACTTTACTGCGCTTATTTTTCATCGTTAGAATAGTCAACATGTCAGTACCGGGTTCAGTCCTGTCTTTTCCCTTATTGCTACGTCAACTATAACAAAACTCTACGAGCCTTGCTCTATCATCAACGAATAGTGTGCCAGTGTATCGCATCTCTATACGCTAAATCATTGTCGACGATATACAGAGTGGTTGGTAACTGATGGTGGTACAAGCGGAAAGGGGGCGATTCTAGGCGAAAAAAGAAGTCGAAAATATAGAATACAAATTTTTCGTTCGAGGCTTTGTTTTCGAGAAAATCGACTTTGAATTTTCGCTCGGTACGCCTGCACTTTATCGCGTCTCGTTATAACGTACCGCACGCGTACCGAACGAAAATTTAAAGTCGATTTCCTCGAAAACAAAGCCTCGAACGAAAAATGTTTATTCTATATTTTCGACTTCTTTTTTCGCCTAGAATCGCCCCCTTTCCGCTTGTACCACCATCAGTTACCAACCACTCTGTATATCGTCTCAATTTCTTCACCTTATTCGTGAAACGTTCGAACTGCTACGCGAGGAGATCACCGGCGATCTATCGGTTTCGTGATTTCTTGCGTGACAAACGCGTGGATAGTGAGGATATTAAGGGACGACAAAAAGAGAAGAATCGAATCCGATCGACAGTTAAGTTTGAACCAGGCGAAATTGACCTAGCGAGATTGACCTAGCGAAATCCAGAGCGATACGCGACGCGATTAAAAGAACACACTTGTTAGGGAATATATCGTTGACCTAAGCACCGAGTGATTATTTAACGCATAGCAACAGCCGATATCACCTCGTATTTCTGAGAATTCTTGATAGAAATCGTTCGATGTACTTCTCGAGTATCCTTCCGTATTTCGATATATCTTGACAAAAGACAAAGTTCAAATTCAAGCGAAATGACCATCATTAACGTATCTTCTCTCGGAACATCCCGTACACAAGTTCCAAGAAAGCCGTAGTATTATTCCTGGCAACTACGCGCGCCGATAAAAGCTCGTTAATGTCGGCCGATTGCGCATCGAAAATTCTTAGCCGGAGACGGAGGCTCGGAAACTTGCTATTCCGTGCGTTCCATTAACATTTGCCATCTCGGTTACCCTTTAATCTCGCCAGAAATAGGGGCACCGGAATCGTTCCAGGTTCACCTTCGGCCGGTTGGCAAGCGGCGCCTCTTTCCGCGTTATTGATCACACGGCGGCCTTTTTACAATCAATTGCTGTTCCCTCGTGGTCGATCGATGCGAATGCCGGTTCGCAAAAACTGTCTGGAGCCCGAACAGCTCCGACAGCGGAGGGAGCACCGGGTTAAAATTCAATAAAACCGATGGATCGTCCTCTATCGGGGCGCTGCTCATAAATTTCCGTGAAGAAGCTACAACCTGTTGCTTAATTATAGCTTCTCACGCGGCCGCGACCGAACCTCTCTCTCTCTCTCTCTTCTTTCTGTCTCGATTGGTATGCACGCCTCGAAAATCGATGACTTCTCCCGCTGTACTGGCCTCGATACCGGGACTAAAGAGTTTCGCGACCGCTTTCATTCATTTCACCCTTCTGGTCAGCCGTTTCGCGGCTCGAAA